ATCACATAGTTTCGTACTGAAGCACGGGTATCCAGCTAATAGTTAAATATAACAAAGTTTGTGCAAGCTTTTGTTTTGTAATAAAATGAACAGCAAAGACCCTGTACTTACTTTGGTTGTTTGGCAGGGGCGGGGGTGGTTCTGCACAAAATTGGTTTTAGAATGTCTTAAATCATTTTTTAATCTTTTTTTATTAGTTTATAGTATAAAATATAAACGCAAAGAGTAGGACACAGAGGGAAGGGGAAGAGAGGAGAAAAAGAAAAAAAAGCCATTGAGTTCTGGCTCCCTCTGTTGCAGTAAAATAAGGCATTAATATTGAACCTCAACTTTTAACTTTTCCATAATAGTATAAACTAGCCATTTCTATAACAACAAATCAATCTAATCAGTCAACCCCAAAATCAAGAGTTTTATTTCTTTCCACCTCAAGAACAAAAGTCCAGTATTATAACTAATCTGAAGAATCTAGCAATTTGTGCTATATTTCTTTGGAATCACCAATGGCCTCTGATTATCAGCCTTTGATAATCTAGTACTGTACGGTGTTTATCAATCTTTGTGACTTTAAGATGTGTGGACTTCAACTCCAATTATGGGAATTGAAGTCTACACATCTTGAGAAATATTACATTTAATATAAAACCATTACCGCTTTCTTTTTTTTTCCTCTTCGGGATAGGAGATCCCTCGAAGAAATCGGATTCAAACCCTTTAACAGAAATACTGAAATGCCCAACCAAAGTTGTCTTATTGCGGGTAAGTTTCCCCTGTTTTGGTTCATCAGCCATCCTGAATTGTTGATTTTCAAGGTTTGGGTTGGCATTAAGCCTGGAGTTTTTGAAGAAGAGATTGGACAGTCATTTATCTGAAATGGTATAGGGCAGGGTTGTCAAAGTCTATTTCATTGAGAGCCGCATCAGGGTTGTGTTTGACCTCGGAGGACTGGGGGGGTGGCTGGCATGGGGGTGGCCAACTCAACATCACTTGTGTCAGGGGTGGGGGCACCTGTGGTGGCTAAGTGCTAAGGCAGGACTTCCCTGAGACCCTCCCTCACTCTCATCATCTTCCTTCCTGTCATGCCCCTGTGGGAATTTGACTCGGAGAGGGGAGCCGAACAGCTGACAGGGAGTGGGAATGTGGCTCCTTTGGCTGTGGAAGAAACTGGGGAAGGGCAAAGTCCGACTGGGCAGAGCAGGGGAGGGGGAGAGCAAGGGAGAGGGAGTTCAGAGGAAGACCCAGGCCCACCCCCTCTTCATCGTAGGGCACTCAGGGAGGGACAGAGAAAGGAGCAACATGAGTTGCATGGCTTATGGGGGAGGAAAGGGCCCTGATTCCCTTCATTAGCTGCAGCTGGGAACAGAGTGTATAAAAGAGGAAGCTGCGCACAGCAGGATGTTGGGAGCAAATGTGAATTTATCTGGCATCGTCATGGCTTATCTGTGTTCCTGGCATCTTCCCAACTGTTTAAAGGCTGTTCCTGGGAGAGTTTTTCTCCAGCCGAAGGTAACCTGGACATTGGGGGCAAAGTTGGAGATAATAAAGGGATCTTTATTGCTTATTTGACTGTGTACCACGCCTCGGATCATCACACTTCCTTCCTTTTTTTCTTTTTACTTCCCCTTCCATTCTCCTTTCTTCTTCCTTCCCATCTTCCCATCTTGTTGTTTGCCTTTCCTCTTTGCCTTTCTCCTTTCCTGTCCCTTCTTGCATGCTCAAATGCAAAAGGGGAAACATTTCTCCTTTTGTTTCCTTTTTAGTTTGTTTTGATAGTCCTCTGCCCGCGAAAATGGCAGGAGGCCATTGTGGCCGAAAACGGGGCATGGAAGGGCTGTTTGTGGCCCCCTGTGCTCCGTTTTCGCTAGCAGAGGCAGCGTGGGCCGGTCCTTTGCTGTTTCTAAGCACCTTGTGGGCTGAATCTGGCCCTCTGGCCTTGAGTTTGACATCCCTGGTATAGGGTTTCCTGCTTGAGCAGAGGGTTGGACTAGAAGACCTCCAAGGTCCCTTCTGACTCTTGTTATTCTGATATTTTTAGTTTCGATTAGCTGGACGAAGTGACATTAAAATGATCAGAAAGATAAAGAGGACATGACTGCGGGTATTCCATGATGGCAAATACGTATATTTATTCTCTGAAGCTCCCGAGAGAGTTTCTGATTTCAGTGGAATAAAAATGCGTTTAGTAAATAGACATTAGTGAGGAAAAAAAATCTCTCCGCATTTAAAGGAAAACTTTTTAAAGTCCAGGAGTAAAGAAACAAAATTTGCATTTCAAACGTAGAGTCTTTTGTTGTTGTTGTTGTTGTTGCAGAATATGGTTGGAGCTGGGGAGGTTGACGAAGACCTTGAAGGTGAAACGAAAGAAGAATGTGAAAAATATGGCAAAGTTGGGAAGTGTGTGATTTTCGAGGTACTGACTGACATCCATTTCACCCACATTTCTTTTTTAAAAAGCAGATTTAAAATATCATCATCCTCTTTCTACCCCTTGCGGGGTAGAATCTGTGCAACTGAACGGAACTGAGTGTTTACTGGCCGGGTGCCCTCCCTGTCGCCAATGCAGACTTTTTCTCAGCAGATATATTCTCATTGTGTCCAGAGAAAGTAATATCTGCCTCTACCTAGGATCGAACTCATAACCTTCTGCTTGTGAGGCAAGAGCTCCACCTCTAGGCCACCACACCACTCCAGATTTAAAATATCTACATGCAAAAATATATTTAAAAGCAGATTTAAAATATCATCATCCTCTTTTAACGACCCCATAATCCCTTGCGGGGTGGAATCTGGGCAACTGAATGGAACTGAGTGTTTACTGGCCGGATGCCCTCCCTGTCACCAATGCAGAGTTTTTCTCAGCAGATATACTCTCATTGTGTCCAGAGAAAGTAACATCTGCCTCTACCTAGGATCGAACTCACAGCCTCCTGATTGTGAGGCGAGAGCACTACCGCTAGGCCACCACACCACTCCAGATTTAAAATATCTACATGCAAAAATATATTTAAAAGCAGTTCTTTGATGGAGGTTACAAAAATTGGGACATGTGGAATGGAAAGAGGAAATCCCTAGAAATAGATTCCAAGCTAGCACACCTGCGTAACAGCTTTATTTGGTTGTTTTAATCTGGAAGACTTTTATATGGCCACCTCCCTTGACACGTTTCTGCCGCTCTTGGAAAACATAATAGTGAGTAAATGAACTTGGCATCTGGTTCAGTGAGACGAGAACTGTCAACCTTGTGCAGAACAGCAGATGGGCAAAACCAACCTGGATGATGTAGCCTTGAAGATAATCCCGCCTCTGCAATTTTAAGTATTTGCATCCCCCTGCTGTCTTTTATCTCAACTGATGAGCTCCCTGATGAGGGATAACTGCCCATCATGACTGCTCGGGAACCAGAATGGGACAACTCCCCATGGCCAAGCTGCCGCGGGACAATTCAACAATTCAATTTAATCCTCTAAAGCAAAAGTTTTAAAAATTACTCTAATTTTTGTCATTCACATTTCTTTTTGTCCTTCCTCTGGCATCCTCTCTTTAATGATTCTATCCCCCCCTCCCGCCATTTCTTCGATATTACCGTAACTCTTACCCTGCGATGAGTTGTCCCATGGCTACCGTATTTCTCAGAAAATAAGCCTTAGCATGATTTTTCAGGATGCTCGTAATATAAGCCCTATGTCAGGATTCCAGCAATCGCCCTAATTAAATCATGATTCTTGAGCAAAACTTCAAAGGATTTATTAGAGGCGACATACTGGCACTGCCCTGTATGAAGCCAACTCTGGCATACGTCATTTATAGTCCCCTGTGACCCTGTTTCCCTCTTCCTCCCTGGGTGTGTCATAAATCACATTCTCCAATTGAGCACGTTCACCCACTGGGTGTCATCATTCACATTCTCCAATTAAATATATTCACAGGCAAAAGCTCTGGTAGTTTAACTACAATCTTTTAAAGATAAGAGTTGGAATGTACTTTCGGTTTCAAACTGCTGCACTGCTCTTCCAGATTTCCTTCTCCACCCCACCCCCCCATGCCCCATTTTTTTTAATGGCAACGACTAAAACAGGCATAGGAATGTTTTAGGAGTTGACGCCCTATCCCGAAAATAAGCCTCAGTTAAAAACGTCAGCCAGATGGATGCATTTGCCGTATTTCCCCCCAAAATAAAACCTAACCAGAAATAAGCCCTAATGCGTCTTTTGGAGCAAAAATTAATATAAGATCTGCTCTTATTTTGGGAGAAATAATGGCAATTGGTTGCAGCGAGTTGGCCGTAGCAAGTGGACTGCAGCAAGTTGGCTGCGGCAAGTTGTCCCAGACCGTCAGGGACAACACACAAAAGAAAAGCTGTTATCACAAAAGCCTAGACTATAAAACGTGTATACAAAATAGAGAAGGTGTATTTCATACTTGGCAACTTTAAGGTTGAGTGAACTTCAGTTTCCAGAATTCTTCAGCCAGCATGCTGGGAGTTGAAGTCCACTCCCTTTAAAATAGCCAAATTTGAAAAGCCCTCCTCTAGAGCTGCACCGTACTATATTTATACTGTACTGTAAAGGCCCTGATCTTCGCTGTTTTTTTTATTCAAGATTCCTGGTGCTCCTGATGATGAAGCCGTGAGAATATTTTTGGAATTTGAAAGAGTGGAATCTGCAATTAAAGGTAAAGAATCACATCATCACTACTTCCTGTAAATTTCGAAACCCGTACAGGTAATTGTCAGCTTACAACAGTCCCTTTAGGGAACCGTTGAAAGTTACAACGGCACTGAAAAGAGCGGCATATGACTGTTTTTCACAGTTGCGACCTTTGCAGTGACAACCCCATGATCAAAATTAAAATCCTTGGCAACTGGTTCATACTTACGATCATTGCTGTGTCCCGGGGTCACACGACTCCCTTTCGCGACCTGACGAGCAAAACCAGATTCACTTATCAACCGGATTACTAACTTATCAACCGGGTTACTAACTTATCAACCGCAGCGATTCATTTAACAACGGTGGCAAGAAAGGTCGTAACATGGGGCAAAACTCATTTAACAAACATCTCACTTAACAGAAATTTCGGACTCAATTGCGGTCGCAAGTAGAGAACGACCTGTATTTGATTGCACAAATGGGAGCAGAGGTGGATATATACCCAGTGTGATGATCCCAGGCGTGGCACAAAGGCAACCCAGTCAGATAATCAGTAGGAATCCCTTTATTAGCTCCAACCTTGCATCCAATGTCCTGGTTACCTTCTGGTCTGGTGAAAAACTCTCCCAGGAACAGGCTTTGGCTGCAGAGAATCAAGTCCAAAACATGGTCAACAAAAACTGTAACTATAAGTCCAATCAAGGCAAAATGAAGTAATTAGTACGGCAGGGCAAGAGAAGGAATTCCAGATGTGGTTGAACGGCAGGAATTCAACACGGTTGGGAGGATGCCAGGAACACAGATAAGCAAAGTCAATACAAGATTAACTCACATTTGTTCCCAGGAGAGTCAGGACTCAGCTTGCATCTCTTTTAAACTCTCATTCCCAGCTGTGGCTAATGAAGGGAATCAGGGCCCTTCCCCTCCCCCAAGCCACGCAACCCATGTTGCTCTCTTCTCTGTTCCTCCCTGCGTGCCCTAGGTTGAAGACAGGGTGGGCCTTGGTGGTCTTCCTCTGAACCCCCTCTCCCTTGTTCTACCTCTGCTCTGCTCTGCGCAGCCGGGTTTTGCCCTTCCCCAGTTTCCTCCACAGCCAACGGAGCCACACTCCCACCCCCTGTCAGCTGTTCGTCCTCAGATTCAGACTCCGATAGGGGCATGACACCCACTGCTTTTGTATAGGAAGCCTCCAATTGTAGCTAGTTTTTTATCTTCTTCTCTGATTAACCTGGCTTGCTTGATGGCAATCTGTCCTCCCGTCCCATCAGCCCAATGTTCCTGTTTCATCCTTCCTGAAACCTTGGTAGCCCTCGACTTATCATCGCAATTGAGACCAAAACGTCCATCATAAATCATGTCGGTCTTAAGTTGTAGTCTTACCCAGCTTAAAAGAGTCTCGGTGAGAAAAATTGGCCTGCTGGGGAATTCTGGGGGTTGAAGTCCACCCATCTGAAAGCTGCCAATATTGAGAAACCCCTTGTTACACCCCCCTGCCTCCCCATTTTGACCCAGTTGGATATTCTGCTTACCGTAATTTAAAAACTGTAACTCAGTGGGGTTCTACCTTCCCCGCGTGTTTCCTAACCTGGGAATGTGGCTAATTTCCTATTTTGCCTGGGTTTCAGCGGTGGTTGACCTGAATGGAAGATACTTCGGAGGACGAGTGGTGAAGGCCTGTTTCTACAACCTGGATAAATTCCGAGTCTTGGACCTCGCGGAACAAGTCTGATTTTCGTTTCGTCAAACTGGGACACGTCACCATCTGGTGATCTCAAAAGAGTTTTCATCTGCATGTGGAGAGCATAGAGGAAAGAGGCGATGTGACGTCTTTTCTGACAAACTGGAACTAATCCTTGATCGGCCTTGATCGGCTTATTCCTTGCAATGGACAGATTTTATTTGTATTTTTATTGTAGTATAAAATTCCTTAAAAGATACCTGGTTTATTTGATTTGATTTGATTTTTTCCTTTTAAGAGTTCAGCCTTTGCCTCTTGACTGCTCCACAACGCTCTTCTGATTTGCTGATGGTGAATCTGGATATCTTTCTGGTGTTTTTTTTCTTTCCTTTCTCATCCTCTGCTTTGATTCCCTCACTCAATGCCTGATTTAATGGCCAACCACAATTTACTTGGTAACCATGATTTGCCGTTAAACCAGTAGAGAAAATGCAATTTGTTGCTAAATCAGAAATGGTAGAACATTGAAAATACCGAAAACAGGAAGGAGACAACTAATAGTTTGAGCTAATTCAGAAGGTGGTATTCAGCCAGTTACTGACCAGTTCTGGAGAACCGGTAGCGGAAATTTTGAGTAGTTCGGAGAACCGGCAAATCCCATCTCTGACTGGCCCCACCCTCATCTATTTTCTGCCTCCCAAGTCCCAGCTGATCGGCTGGGTCTTCTTTGGTTGCCCTGCACAGGAGAACAGAGCTGGAAAGCAGGTTAGTGGGGTGGGGAGGGAATGGGAATTTTGCAGTGTCCTTCCCCTGCCATGCCCACAAAGCCACACCACGCCCACCAAGCCACGCTCACAGAACCGGTAGTAAAAAAATTTGAATCCCACCACTGAGCTAATTGGTATGGCTAACATCGACAGTAATGAGCAAAGCATCATAAAGCTGAAACCCCTCCCAAAAATTCTGAATTTTAAGGATGGTTCTCCCAATGCAGTTGTCCAAAAGGTGCGTGTGTGTGTGTATGTATATATATATTTTCTTAAGTTTTCGCGGGTACTTACATGTATGGCATTCAGCTTTGTTCGGGTATTTTCCCACGTCATTGTAGTTGTGCTTTTAAAGTTGTAGCAACGTTTCGGCAGAATCTCATCTGCCATCATCAGGCTTCCAGAAGCCTGATGATGGCAGATGAGATTCTGCCGAAACGTTGCTACAACTTTAAAAGCACAACTACAATGACGTGGGAAAATACCCGAACAAAGCTGAATGCCATACATGAGACAAATCATTGTTTTTTAATGACCCCATAGTCCCTTGCGGGGTAGAGTCTGTGCAACTGAATGGAGCTGAGTGTTTACTGGCCGGATGCCCTTCCTGTCGCCAGTGCGGAGCTATATATTCAACAGCTGTAATCTCAACAGGCCCAGAGAGAAAGGGATATATCTGCCTCTACCTAGGATTGAATTCATAGCCTGATTGTGAGGCAAGAGTTCCACCTCTAGGCTAGCACACCACTCAACAAGAAACATATATCTGGTGATAAAAGAAGATTCTGTCCTTTGTTGAACTCTTTAGGAAATTCTTGTTGTCGTTCAAACTTTAGGAAAAAATTTTTTTTTTCTGTGACTAGCTTAGTGCTATTCCCACAGTTAAGTCAGCCACAAGGTAGTCAATCAAATTTGCAACCTGGGTTGCACAGCAAGCCAGCTTCTGTGGTTGATTAATTGCACCGTATGTTCTGCAGATCCAGAAAACGAGAGTCAATTGAGTAAATTACCATTATTTTACTCATCAAGCATGTCGCCTCAACCCCACATGACTTCCCACGCTGGCATGATGTCTGGTGGTTTTTATAGCATACAAGCCCATGGTTATTTGATTCAGGCTTTATTCAGTCAATGGTCGGAATTGCTATTATCCCTTGTCAATAACTCACACTAGATTTGCATAATAGGATAAGCTAAGATTGTGATTATGTGTGTGGTGTGTTAATGCGTGTTGGTGGTAAAGGATGACAATCTCAAAAGATTGTTGGAAGAATAGAAAATCTTAACCCGCTTATCGAGCACAAGAAATCAAATCCTGGATGATTTTAAGCCAAGCAGAATCAAAGCAAAACCTTTTACTCTGCCTAAAAATCATTTTTTTTTTAAAAAAAGCATCACAATCAAACTTTTTACAGCAGGATTAAAAAAAAAAAATCCAAACCATTTTTGCTTGGAAGGAAATGTCTTGAGAAGAAATTATTTCACATTAGCCTAGGAGAGCAATGCTTCTCAAATTTGGAAACTTTAAAGAATGGGTGTGGACTTCAACTCCCAGAATTCCTCGCGCTGGCTGGGGAATTCTGGGACTTGAAGTCCACCCAAATTGCCGAGATGGGGAAATACTGTGCTAGAGTAAAACAGTATGCTACTTCATCTCAGAATGTATGGGTTAGTACTTGGATGGGAGACCACTAGGAAAGCCGTTGTTCAGCTTACACAATTGGGTAGCGTCATAGTGCCTCATGCAAACTGACAATTTATAATTCCAAACTCCAAAAAAAACCACCACATCGCAAACTTCCTCCCATCCTTTTCCCATAGTGCAGCTTTTTCCCCCAAACCAGGCAACTTCAAGATGGGCTGGCTGGGGGAATTTTGGGAGTTGAAATCCATTCACATAAAAGCTAACCAAGTTTGAGAAAGACCGATGAGCGCAGGGTGTGAATCCAGCCCCCAGCTTGACCCAAATAGGAATTTCATAGCTGGTTCCCCATCTCCAATGAGGTAGCCGTCTAAAGGCACCCCTTGCAAGGAAACCCAATTTTGGAAGAGCCCAAATGCATTAGACATCGTGGTTTGTCACACGGCCAGATGTTCAGCCTGGATTTGGCATTTGTCTCCATCTATGGAGCCCTTCCCAAGGACCTGGAATAGTCAGATGTGGCTGTTTGCTGGTATTACAGATCAGTCACCAGACGTAAACCATTCTAGTAAAGCTGCCGTTTGCAATTGACTAATGGTGAAATTGTCAACACCCCATGCCCATTTCTGAAAGATGGCAGTCCAGTCTTCTTCTTGAAAGCCTCCAGGGATGAAGCTCCCACAACTCCTGAAGGCAAGCTATCCCATTGAATATAGAATAACAAGAGTTGGAAGGTACCTTGGAGGTCATCTAGTCCAACCCCCCACCCCCAAGCAGGAAACCCTATAGGAGTTCTGACAGATGGCAGTCCAGTCTCTTCTTGAAAGCCTCCAGGGATGAAGCTCCCACAACTCCTGAACGCAACTTCTGTTCCATGGGTTGGTTGTTTTCACTGTCAGAAAAATTCTTATTTCCAGGTTGAATCTTTCCTTGATCAGTTCCAAGGGATGCTCTAATTTCTTTAGGATTGCACCCAAGGATTGCACTCATTACTATTGGTACCACCTTGCTTACTTTCTATTACTATTGCGTGGCGTTTCTTCCTTTCCTCCAACCCACGAGGAGACAGGCTCCTCTGCGTATCACACCCCCCCACCCCCGCACCCCTGGCGCGCAGAAAGCTCTACCTGCAGCATCTCTGCCTGGCGTGCAGAAAGCTCTACCTGCAGCATCTCTGCCTGGCGCGCAGAAAGCCAGGCCGGGAGGAGAGGAAAAGGTAGCCGAGCCTGCGAGCCCCTGGGCGGGGCCGCAAATCTGCGCGCGATACAAAGCGGTGACGCGCCCACGGAAAGAATTGACCAAATGCGTCGATTTCCTTCCCGGCGCTCCGGTTCCTTTCTAGGCGGGTTGCGCAAGAAAGGGAGCGGCCGGCCCGGATTCCAGCGGCATTCCCTCCCCCACCCCACCCCGAAGGCCAAGCACCGGTGGGGTTCCACGCGCGACCGCTTCAGCCATGCCTTTCCGGAAAGGTAAGGCTCTCACCTGGGCGGGCGGGGCGGGGGAGGCTGCTCGGGTTGGCAAGGAGGCGGAGTGGGGGCGAAACTTTCGGACTTCGGTCCCGAAACTATTAAAAAGCGGCTTCACTTCGTGCGCGGAATTGACTTCCTTCCTTTTGCGCGGGGTCACTTTGGATTTGGAGCTGCGGGGCGGGCAGTGGGGAAGGCTGACCACTTTCTCTGAAGCGAAAGAGAAAGTTCCTTCCTCTTCTTTAAACCAAAACAAGACAAGGCTGCCGTGGCCTGTAAAACACACAAACACACACACTCTTCCTTTTTCTCTCTATTCCTTCCTTTTTTCTTTCTCTCTCTATTCCTTCTTTTTCTCTGTCTCTCTCATCGTTCTCGCTCTCCCTTTCTCCCTCTCCCTTTCTCCCTCCACCTCTTTTTCTCTCTTCCTTCCTCTCTCTTTCTCTTCCTTCCACTTTTCTTTCTTTTTCTCTCTTCCCTCCTTCTTCTCTCTTCCTTTTTCTTTCTCTCTTCCTCCTTTTTCTCTCTGTCTC